GTCTCTAGGTGTAATCAAAAGTTTACAGGATTTTATAGGAACACTCCAAATGTAATGATCTATTAATGAGTAGAAGAAAGGGAGAAATCGATCTATCAGTTCATAAATTCATTCCACTCTGTTTCAAAATCAAGGGAAGAACTTTTAATAGCATTATGTTGCTATCCTCAGAGTTGCCATACTTCAACAAAAATAAGTTTAATAGAGTGGAGTTGTTAAATTAGTATTATTACTAAATGGATACTAAATAATTCAGACTCTGAGCATTTTTAATACATCTTTAGTACAGAAAGCAGTTTTCCAACTTCAAACACGGATGCTATTTTTGGTACTATGGTAATCTAACAGTAGTAATCACTCAATGAGGAAGACAGAAGTGTTCTCATTTTTTATGTTTTCTTGACCTGTCAACCCAGTTTGGTGCCTTCCAGATATTTTAAATCAGTCTGACTCAGATTGGTGATCTTTAGATTGGTGCCAGCCTGTGAGCTAATTGCTGCCCTTCCACAGTAAGCCTCGAGGAAAGAAAGGGGAAAAAAAACAGATGTGCTTTGAATGTGATTTTCCTGTTTCTTGGAAGAGGGTTGGACTGGATGGTCCATGAGGTCTCTTCCAACACTATGATTCTATGATTCTATGTGCTCAATAGGCACAAATACATTCAATCCCCGGCATACTGGGAACACCAAACTACAACTTCCTTACATTAGATAGCTTAAGAAGCATTGTTTTAAACTACATGGGGTTTAAAAACACCACAGACAGCATGACTATGGTGAAGGACCCTGGGAGTTCAAGTCCATGATTTATTTCATTATGGTGACAACACGAAAATGGATTGTTGTAGGTTTTTCAGGCTGTATGGCCATGTTCTAGAAGCATTCTCTCCTGATGTTTTGCCATCATCTGTGACAGGCATCCTCAGAGGTTGTGAAGTTTGCCATAGATGTGGGCCAAACGTCAGGAGAGAATGCTTCTGGAACATGGCCATACAGCCCGAAAAATCTACAAAAACCTAGTGATTCCGGCGATGAAAGCTGTCGACAATACGTTGAACATGAAAATGGACTGTGTTTATTATACCTTATCCCATCACACTAGCAATCCATCTCGGTTCATAAGTATTGTCTATTCCGACTTGGCAGTAGCTCTCCCAGGTTTCAGACAGATTGTTCCCTCCCTCCTTACCCAGAGATACAGAAAATTGAGTTCTGTTACTGAGTGTGATCTTTTAAATAAGTGGACTGTTTTTCTGAGTAACAATAGGCCACTACAGGTCTTTTTTAGGCTATATAAAACACATGTTTTGAGATCACAGATTTTTAAAAGCAAGATATAACTTTCAATTATTTCTTCTGAACTAAATACTTTTTGGGGGCCCTGGTGGTGAAGCAGGTTTAACCGTTGAGCTGCTGAACTTGCTGATCGAAAGGTTGGTGGTTCGAATCCGGGGATCGGATTGAGCTCCCACTGTTAGGCCCAGCTTCTACCAACCTAGCAGTTTGAAAACATGCAAATGTGAGTAGATCAATATTACTGCCTGGTGGGAAGGCAATGGTGCTCCATGCAATCATGCCAGCCACATGACCTTGGAGGTGTCTACTGACAACTCCAGCTCTTCTGCTTAGAAATTGAGATGAGCACCCCAGAGTCAGACACGACTAGACTTAATTCAAGGGGAAACCTTTAACTTTACTTTAAACACTTTTTGAAAAAAAAGAAGCCATAATACTTTGGATCTATGCTTTCCTTACAAATTTCCTTAGAATTTGAGGATTTCTACAACTGGGAACAAATTAAATAATTTAAATGAATGCAGTACTAAAATATAAATCAACAGAAGAACACTGCACAAAACAAATGCTTCAAAATACTATAAAGACATATATAAAATGTAGTGGGCAAAGTATCTTTTATCTAGGGCAGAGCAGAGCTAAAAATAAACAGTTTTAATCCTGGATGAGGATTAAAGTTCTTTGTAACAAAAAAGAGAGAGAAAGAACAGATTACATCCATCCCTCATAACAATTTTGTTTTCTGGAAAATATTCTATTTGCCCATTACCTCTTATGTGTAAAATATAATTCATATAATTTTTATGGTTAAAAAATGAACAATTGAAATTCTCAAAAATTATCAAACTAAAACATATACTGTTAATGATCATAGATTAGTTGTTGTGCATATAATATATATATATATCACCACTGACTTGAAAATGTGTTTAGAAGAAAAATCATATGCTCTTCAGGACAAAATGTCTGTGCTTTCATCTTGCCACAACCCACAGGTATATTGCAACTGACCAAACTAACAAATGTTTATAGCTTCTACTTGCTTTGTGAGAGCCAGACGTGACACACAATCCCAAAGAGAAATAAAAATCAAAAACTACCTCTAAACCAGGAGCTATAAGCTATATTTCAGAAGAAAGAACTGGCAGATAATCTCTGAATTTTCCATGCTTAAGAATATTCTGTAAAGTTCATGAGGCCATTATAGGTCAACAGGTGACTTGAAGGCACATACACATGCGCACTCACAAAACCAAGGGTGGACTAGGGTCTCAGCTCTGCTGCTCCCACATGTGCAAGCCTTACACTGTTTTTTTAAATTCATTACATTACATTAAAGATTACATTTATTAAGTTATATTTAATTAAATGCATTCTATAGCATGCTGACATTAACTGAATATTTTAGAATTGATTCTATAGTACTTCTTTGAGTTATTACTCATGTCCACTTCAGGTTTAAGGGCTAGTGTTGACAAGTCCCAAGACCATAACATGTACCAGATAAACCCCACGTATTACTATGATGCAGTGCTAAATAGGAATATTATGCACAAATAATTTCCTAAGACCATTATCACGCCATGCTGTCATAGCACTATAACGATGTATTACTCCCAATGTTGTTCCAGCTTTATTGCACTACATTGTCACTCTCCAGGCATTGCTGTATTGCAGCATCGCTGAAAGGGTGCCTCTTTGCTCTTTTCACTATGGAAATGATCTATTAATGACTTCCTTTCTGTCACAAATTTGTAAGCATTTCAGGTGCATAATTCTCATAATACATTATTCCATGAATGATCCATTACTTGGGTATGCTATGTGTGAGACCACGTTATCCCTTCCTCAAGGACTCTGAAGGAAATCTCCGACATAGAAGCACAAGATCACATCTGGTGTTTTGAGGGAAAAGATCACGTTTCTCATATGTTTGAACCCCCGTTAATAACCTCTTCTGTTTTTCTGCTTTTTTTTACTTGATGCTATATCATTATAATATTACAGCATGTCCTACTGTCATATTTCCATGCTGTTGCAGTGCTATTATAGCTACCTTAAAAAAATAGGTGAACCAATCAGAAAGTGAAGGATGGGGATATCTGTAATCCAGCATTAATGCAAATGGAAAAAAACATGCAAATGACACTCTTAAAGCGCAAATGTGCCAAGGGTACAATGGAGAGCATCAACTGCTCTCATGAAATTGTCTGGAGCTCAAACAGAAGAATGCAGCTTAAAGGAGTGGTGTGATAAGGTCCTATGTTTGGCCAATACATACATCTAAGGAAAATAGAACAAAATCATTATAATTAATTATAATAATTACTAAAATAGCCATCTTCTGTGAAACCCAGGCTGCTACCTGAAACTTCAAAAGGCATGTCCTAATTTGGTACTTCTAGCACTGATTCTGAAATGATTAAAACATTTTCTAGTAACCAGAATAGGGTCAGGTCACTCAGTTTAACAAACGGAAGGGTTACACGAACAGTCTCTAACTACTGTGAAAGTTAAAGTTTAACATAAAATTAACAAACACATTAGAAACTTCAAAGATTTTTTGATGGGAGAATTAAAATATCCAGTGGAAATACCGCTTTTTTTCATAACTATACAGAGTGGCTAAAAGTAATAGCAATATGGTATACATCTTAACAAATTAAAAACTGTTTCCCCAAAATATAAAGGGGAAATATGTATGCTACCTTCCTTACAAAGTGAGAAAATTGTTTCAAAAAATACATACAGACTTAAATCCAATTTTGGATCAAACTTGAACAGACTCCTTGAATCATTAAGTGTTGACTTATTCTTGATTGATTCTCTTAAGTTTGGGCTAGAAATGGGATTTATGCCAGTATTTTCCTTTAAAAAATACAACAATGAGTAGATTGAATTTTCCCGAAAATTTGTCATTAAAATAATACCCATGGCCAAGGATTTAAATATCAGTATGTTTAATTCCTCAATTCAAAATATAAGGCATAGTACAGAAAAATCATTCAGAATTATGGGGAAAAAAACCCATATCACTATGATCTGGCCCTAGCTGTAAGTGTATGAATTTCCCATATTATTTCCCCTCAAAATGTAAAACTAATAAAAAATAACAATTCTTCCTCCAAAAGTATATCCCACATGGCTTTATCTGTCTGCATGGCCATTAAAACTGTAATGAAACAACAACAAAGAAATACAAACTGATATACTTTTGGTTCAGTACAGTAGAGTTTCACTTATCCAAACTTTGCTCATCCATCGTTCTATATTATCCAACGCAGTCTGCCTCCTGCCCGGATCCACAGTTGTTTCAATATATTGCAATGTTTTGGTGCTACATTTGTAAATACAGTAATTACTACATAACGTTACCATGTATTGAACTGCTTTTTCTGATGATTTGTTGTTGTTTTGGTGCTTAACTTGTAAAATCATAGTGTAATTTGATGTTTAATAGGCTTTTTCTTAATCCCTCCTTATTCTCCAACATTTTCATTTATCTAACGTTCTGCTGGTCTATTTATGTTGGATAAGCGAGACTCTACTGTATATTGATTTTGCTAGCATCATAAAGCCTAGCAGCCTAACTAGTTTTGTTTTTGAACTTTGGCTAATGAAAATTTCAGTTTAAAAAAATCACATTAATCAGTTACATGTATGTTTAGTAATACTATCATAATATAAATAAACATGGATTCTAACCACTTTGTCCTCCTTTGGGTAAGCATCCAGGAAAGCAGAGAAAGAAGAAAAAATATAAAGGAAAGAAGAAAAAAGAAAGAAGGAAAACATTAATAGGAACATTCAAATAAGACAGCCATAATGTTTTTGTAAACATAAGATTTACTCAAATTTTTAAAATAAAAATATTTGCAGTTACACATGCACAGGAAATCCATACATTTCACAAGTACCTGAAATATTTAAAGCAGGGAATAAAGAAATTGTTGTGATAACAGGATTCAGCACACCAGTGTTTCCCTTCTTTTCATAACATAGCTGGGATGCAAGGTGTGTCAGGCCCTTTCTACACTGCCATATAAAGTCCAGATTATCTGCTTTCAACTAGAGATTTCTATAGAGAACACCTCCTTGGGAGGTTATTTTTATTGTTTTCAAAACAGTGGTCAGTTTCCAGCAGAAGACAACCATAGAAAAGACCTAGAAATTCTTAGAGAGGTTTTCTCTTGGGTAAAAAAAAAAAATTACAATTTCTTTTTTGAGGTTTTTTTTTTTTTCACTTTCATGGGGGTCTTGTGCCATCCCAGATAACGTGGAGGGCTGACTGTACTTCATGAAAATCTGCTCCTGAAAGTCAAGAGACATGAACAAGGCAGAAACAGGATTGCACAAGCAAAAGGGGATTCAATTGAGAAAGTTTGTGACCCACCAGTGGCATATAGAAGAGGGAATTTGCAAGAATTATGTCACCATAGCCAATCAAAAGAGAGCAAGGATTCGCATCTTCCCATTTACAGGTGTGCTGTTACATCTATGAATTACCACTCAACCTATACCTTCAACAAGGAGGCAGTAGTTGCTGTATGCTAATGCCAGTGGAAAGCTAGGAATTGACTTTGCAGGGTGGCTGAGCCAGATTCTCCATCTTTCTAATCCAGAGATCTGAAGATCAATAGGGTTAACCATTTAAGAAGATATGCAAAAGGGACCATTTATTTAGTTATTTATTTATTTATTTCAGGTATTTATACCCCACTCTTATCAACCCCTGGGGTAACACATATGAAAATTTTCATTTTTCAGAATATTAGGTGGAACATTTCCTGCCATAGTTTTAAACCAGGGGTCCTCAAACTAAGGCCCGAGGGCCAGATACAGCCCTCCAAGGTCATTTACCCAGCCCTCACTCAGGGTCAACCTAAGTCATTTCAGAGCAGACAACAACAACAACAATATTATCTCATTAGCCAAAAGCAGGCCCACACTTCCTATTGAAATACTAATAAGTTTATATATGTTAAAAATTGTTCTTCATTTTAATTATTGTATTGTTTTTAAGTGTTTTTGTACTACAAATAAGATATATGCAGTGTGCATAGGAATTCATTCATGTTTTGTTTGTTTTTTTCAAATTATAATCCGGCCCTCTAACATTTTGAGGGACTGTGACCTGGCCCTCTGTTTCAAAAGTTTGAGGACCCCTGTTTTAAAAGGTAAATTGTCAGGAGAATACATCAGTCTGAACCCCATTTCGGAAGAGTTCCTCCCTCACAAATAATCTGCTCTACTGCTATCTTACCCCCTGTTTTTATTCTTTAGTATCTTACTCTGTACATGCGGCCCGCTCACTGTTTTGTGTTATGAATGATTTTATTGCAATTTTATATTGGTTATAGTATTTTTATAATTTATGTTCTATGTAATTGATTATGTTGTTGTTTATATTTGGATTTTATTTATTGTGCTGCGTTGTAGGGCTTGGCCTCATGTAAGCCGCACCGAGTCCCCATTGAGGAGATGGTGGTGGGGTACAAATAAAGTTGTTTATTATTACTAATACTGGACTTCTATATGACAATGTCTATTAGAGAATCCATTTTGTGTCAGGAGGACTATGTAGGTTTTTTAAAGTTTGGATCTTCATTCTCCTCTGACAGCCAGCTGACAATACTCTGATGCCACAGTTGGGCCCTTAAGAAACTTGACTTGGAAGAATCTGTCCTCATATGCTGATGAAATTGGCCATTAGAAGCAATGGTTCGCAACCAATAGTCCAGCAGATGACTTTAATTCCCCAGATCCCTCTGTGTAAACTAAACTCCCCAATCTCAAATCAGTTGTGCTGGTATCTATGAACATACATCTAAAACAACTAGAAGACCAAAGCTTTAGAAAATAACACTAAGTGGATACAGATAATTCAACATGTGATGACTTAATAGGGTAGCTTGTATCACATGAGGTGCATCTACACTACAGAATTACTGCGGTTTGACACCACTTTAACTGCCATGACTTGATCATGAGAACTATAGTTTCAAAAGGTCTTTAGCCTTCTCTGTCAAAGGTGCTCATGCCCCCAAAAAGCAATAAAAGCATCTTAGAATATTTTAAAGCAATGTTAGGGATGACAAGATAAGAAGAATTTCTTTTTCAAATCTGATGAACTTGCAATAAGGTGAAAAATTGCTGGTCTAAGATTTGTTCATTCCAAAAATTAAAACTAGACATTGTAATGTTACTAGAAATATTTCTACTGAGCATTATTGTTAAAGATTTGGATTGTAAATGACAATACCACCACCAAGACTATGTTTTGCTCAGATTTGGAAACAGACCAAAGTGCAGATGATGGAAGAATGGATTGTTCCACTTGCTGAGTTGACCCAAATGGACAAATTAAGGTGGCTTCTAATAATACTGGTATGCCAGAGGAAGGCTTTCTGAAGGCTGGAAAAATGCATAGGTATTGCAAGAAAGACAAGCTCTAATGATGTAACTAAGCTGTGGCTATGGTTTTTACTAACTTTAATGGGATTATGTTTTAGATATGTGTTAGTGGAATAATTTTTTTCTTGTTTTTTTTTCCTTCCCACTCCTATATTTTTTGATAATATAGATTGCTGGTGTTAAATATTATAAGTAAATGAATATATTGAGAGAGAGAAAAGAGTGCTGGTGCCCCACCAAAGCTACAGCTCCCATTATTCTACAGAACTGAGACATGGCAATTCATGTGGTGCATTAATTCTACTGTGTAGATGTAGACATAATGGCTACTTTATTCTATGGGAATTGTTTTGTATTTTTAGCCCAAGTTTTCTTAATTAAATATAAATTAATAACATTTTAAGTTAACCAGTAAAACAATGACAGCAACAAAAAAGAGCTGATAAAAGCAAGATTAAATCACTAGCAGCATAGAATAAAACAATTTTGCCCAGGGTTGCTGTGAGTTTTCCGGGCTGCCCAGTCTTCTCAATCCCAAATAGGGGGTGGAAAAATTCACCACCCCCTATTTGAACATAGTCCTATAGAAAGCGAGAGGCAGGATACGTGCTGCAGAGTGTTGTTCTTACAAACGTATTGCATTGTCCAGATGGCTTAATATACTCTGCTGATTATATAAGTGATACAGAGGAAGGCATCCTGGAAGTTTGGGATTTATTCTAGAAAGATTTGTTCTTTTCCATAGGATCTTAGTGGAATCAAAATGTAGGCAAATGTCATAATATAACATACATACAGTTCTTAGAGCAGAAATGGGGAAACATTTCAGTCAATTTCTATTTATTCATTTCACTAAAATATGTATATCCTTTTCTGTGACAATTCCCTAGACAACTGGCCTTAACCATAGTCCTTGCATCTTACTACTGTTCTATCCAAAGTCTTAATTGTCCAGTTGAAATTGCTCTTATCCTTTTGCTGCCTTATGACCTATGCACTTTACTCATTAGACCCACTTTTAAATTGTTGTGCTCTAGACCACTCTCCTACAATGAGACTTGAATTCTATTATTGGTTGTTGTTTCTGATGCTTGTCTTATTGTTATTATATTGTTGCTTATGTTGTTTTTATACTGATGAGTGTATTTTGTAAATGTTATGTTTTTACTGTTTCACTGGGCCTAGCCCTATGTAAGCCACCAGGAGTCCCTTTGGGGAGAAGGAAGCGGGGTATAAAAATAAAGTTAATTATTATTATTATTATTATTATTATTATTATTAGTAGTAGTAGTATTATATCAGGGTGGCAAACAAATAAAAACTATTTAAGCAGCACAAACAATTTATTATTTAAAATACTGAAATAATTTAAATATTCTAATAACATAGTAATAAGTCTAACAGGTCATAATTGTATATGTATATTTTAGAATAAGCCAGTTACATCATAAAGGCCTAATAAAAACTCCCGGTTTTGCTTGGCATGGCAAGAAAGTTCTGACAATCCTTTGCCACTGGTCACCAGCAAATCCCAATTGAATGCCCCCCCCCCCCATGAGGGTCTTACTCCAGGGGCAAACCAAGAATGGGCAACTTGGAAGTCCCTGAACAGATTTAGAAGTGGAGTGGGCAGATCAAAAGACAACCTGGCAAAATGGCACTACCTAGAAGAATCCTCCATCTTGTGCGATTGTGGAGCAGAACAAACATCTCAGCATCAGTATGCTTGTCCACAATGTCCTGCCTCATGCAGGACATAAAATACTACCTTAGAGGTGATAAATACAATGAAACAACAATATATATAGACAAAGCACAATGAGACAATTTTAAATAATTTTATAGCTCTTGTACAGAAAGCCTTTTGCAAAAACTGTGCATCAAGAAAAAAACTATGTTAAAATAATTGCTGGTATCTGTAAAGTAGTCGCTGTTGCCCGTTTTTTCATCTAAAATGATTTAACTGCTTGTGCTTCCTCTATTTTATCAGTAGTATACTTATACTGTATATGTAATGCTTTTGACACAAAATAAATTAAATTAAAACCTAATTTTATTAAAACCAAAATAAAACCTAGAAGACCAAAGGTTCCTGAACTCCTATATTAAACATTTTATTTAAGGTTTTTTAAAAAATCATCCTCAAGAATAAAGTTAATGGGACCCAGATGATTGCATGATAAACCTATTAACAAAAATGCATGTACAGTACATACTCCATGAAAGTATGCTATGGATACAAGCATCCAAGGGTATGTCAAACATTGTGATCCAATCTTTATTGGACATCAAATGGAAGGACTTCAGACAACTTTTAAGTAGTAAAAATAATGCAATCTCTTTATACTGAGAATTAATGGTTAAAATACCAGAACAAATTGTCATTGCTATTTGTAAATTCTAGTTTTACAGGCACCACCTGCAGGGGAAAAATTAATGCGATGAAAAAAATCCATACTTATCATTGATTTTAGTGAGTGGCAGGCTCTTTCCCTAAAGGTCTTTAGCTACAGCTAGCAGAAAATCACCAATACTGAATGGATAAATTTTCGCTCCTTGCACATACACACACTTGATATTTATCAGAAATGAAAAATATGGATTTTTATTGCATTAAATTGTATTCTCTGCAGGTGGTGCCAGTAGAATGAGAAGACAGCATAGGTGGTTTCTAATTAAATCCAGTTGTTAGTCTCAGTCCCAACTAGAGTAAATCCACAATTAAGTCAACAGTCATTTGTGCACCTCTGATAAAATGAGTCTACTTTCATTAGACTGAAAATCGTATTTAGGCCCGAATGTGTAAAGGTAGGGCTTTTCCTCTACATACACAAAGGATTCACCATCCTTATCACTTCCAGATGCAACTCCAGAGGTGCTGAGCCTTCTTTTCTCAGGAAAAGAAAAAGGCACACCCAGGGCCAGTGAATAAAAGAAATATGGTTGCTTGGGACCTGAGCATTGCCAGAGAACAGGTTTTGTATTTTACACCGTTCAAGACATGGTGCAGCTTAATGAAAATGTTCAGTTATTGACGTTGCAGTACTTTCTACAATAGCAAATTAATCATATTTGTCAATGATTAATTTGCTATTGCAGAAAGGATACAATACATTTCTAGGTTGCTCTAAACTAGAATAAACATAGCTTTAATCTTAATAAAGAAATCCTGGACCACAAAAAATATATAGTGTGAAATAATTTTTTAAGTCCTTCCATTTACATTTTATTTACAAGAGACTGGGGATACACACACAAAACATGGAATGAGGAATTCAAAGAACAATATACCACTCAACATTTCTCAGATGCAGAGACAAGCAACGTAAGAGTGTGATTAAGATTCCAAACAAGAAAACACTATATAAGAAAGGCTGCTTTTAGCTGAACTTCAGGAAAGACAAGATTTTGATCCTTCTTTCGGCTGAGTTAGCTAAGTGCAAACTCCTTTTGTACCTTGAACTAAATTTGAATCAATGGAAATAGGCAAAGGACAAAGAGGGAAAGTTGGAGGGGAGAGAAACTGGGACATTTTAAAAACAGCTGAAAAAGTGGGACAACAGATGAATAAATACTGGTAACTTTCCCTGCTAGATAGAGATAGTTGACAGGCATGCCATACACATAAAAACTGGATAAAATGTTATAATGCATGATGCTGAGGGGAGGGGCATCTCTGGAAACAGGAAAGCACAGTAGTAAGCATCTGCACAGGTAGCATACTGTAGCCATGGCCTCAATAATATTTTGTTCGCATGCATTTTTAAAAAAAACTTACATTGTTTGATCGTAGGGAAACACGTCCTCCACATCTGGCACAAAACTTTGTCCGGCAGTAAGAGCATAAATGGCCGCAACCATCCGCAAACTTAGTTTTGTGACAGATTCCACATGTTGGGGCATCATCCTTGTGGTCTCCTTGTGAACGGCGGGATTCCTCACCTATTTTCCGCACTTGCTCTTTGTAACTTTCAAATTGTTGGTGCAATCTTCTGTAAGAAAAGCAAAACTTTTTATAGCAGAGCCACTTTTTATAGCAGAGAATTGCCTGTTTACAGCTTGAGTTCATACTCTATGTATCATTAACATATCCCATATATAATCCAAGTGTCCTTAGTAGTCTTTAAAAAGTCAGTTGAAATTCATAAATGGCATTTACTTGCATAACCTGCCAAGCAAGTCAGTTGATATGCAGTCAACTACCAGTCAGGAATCTTTTTAAAGAAAAAAAACAAGGAGCAAGAGGGCACACATGTATTTGAGAAGATTTTGTTAGAATCACTAACATAGACATCTGTCCTCCTTTCCATATACACTTTTAACAAATATCAAGCTTCCACACCCTAAAAAAATAAAATAAAATAACTGGATTCTTTATTGTCTTTAGTACAGCTCTTATATATCCTCCACTGAAAATAGTTCTGTAAATACTTATGTATAAGTTTAGAAATTTTAGTCAAAAAATTAACACAAAATACTTGGGTTAACTTATCAATGTCTCAATGTAAATACTGTATCAAAAAGGAACCATCCCTTCTCTGGTTAGACTGGCAAAATGCCAGTTCGAATGCCCGAGTGGAAAAAACGTCAGTGGCGGCCAGTGGTACTTTCTCAATTGAGTGACCCTTTACTTGTCCACGGGTCCCCAAACATTGACTTATACATGAAGTCAACTTATAGATGAATATATAACTACACTTCTACAGACTAGATAGTCATCCTGTTCTATACAGCAGGCCACTTGAGGACAGAAGCACATGGAGTAGTGAGAAAGTAAGAAGAGACCCACTGAGCCAGCCATATCAGTCAGACCAGTGGGAAGACAGATGTAACAGTGGACTACCTCAACCTCCGTGTCTTTGGCCAAATGACTGACGTATTGCAAATGTATACTTTTTTTCATCCATGACATTAAACTTAGGTTCTCATTCCTTGAAATTTGGGATGTGTTTGTTATTGTTGTGTACCTTCAAGTCATTTTGACTTATGGCAACCCTGCTATATAGGGTTTGCTTAGCAAGGTTTTCCCTTTTTGAGGCTTAGAGAATGTTACTTCCCCAAAGTAATCCAGTATGTTTTTATGGCTGAGTGGGGATTTGAACTCTGGTCTTCAGAGTCATTGTCCAATGCTCAGATTTCTTGCACAAGATTTTTCCATTGTTTCATTGCTTACTTTTTCGAAGACAATGCTCCTGTATACACCACTGGCCATACACATAAGGAACTATGACAAACAAAATAGAAAATGGATAACAATTTCAAGCTTTGGGCTTAACTATTTCATCCTCACTCTTAGTAAAAACAAAAACAAAAAACACAGGTAGGGTACATTAGAAGAACTGCCTGTTTTCTAATTGCCCAGAAGGAGCGAATGCAGGGGAACTTGCAATCATCTTACAAGAAGGTGAGATTGATTTCTTCCGATCATCTCAGGACAAAACTGCATGTTGCCCAAAAGACCCCAAAAGTGAGAGATTCCAAAATCGATCAGAGCAGCAGTACTGGAAAAAAGAATATTCCTTCCAATCAACATGCTTATTTCCAATGGCCGATTCAAGATATTTTGTTGCCTGAGGCAGAGCAGCAAGTGGCACATCCTCCACCAAGTCAAGGAGCAAAATATCAATTTAAATAATTTGAGCATCTGTGGCAGAAAGTTCCTATAAGCTTCTCTCTGTGCCATTGGCCCTCGCAGAATAAAAAATACAATAAAAACAAATGAAATACAATCATTCTTCCGTAGCCATGGATTCTGCATTCACATATTCGACCCTCCATAGGTTGAAAATATTACCAAAATATTCTTCCAAAAGCAAACCTTGACTTTGTCATTTTGTAAAAGGGACACCGTTTTACTATGTCAATTTATATAATGGGACTTCAGCATCCACATATTTTAATATCCACAAGGGTGCAGTGGATACCAAGAGTCTGTTGTGGTTAACCATTTTCTGCCTGTGTGAAGCGCTATCTAATTGTTAGTGCTAGCCTTGAATCTCATAATCTAATTGTACCATTAAAGCTTTCTCCAGGACAAGTGCTCCTTAATGTGGGGGGAAAAGCCACAGCTGGTTGCTGTAAAGTAAGAATAGATTTTAAAGTAATGAAATTCAATCACAAATTTTTACTTGATGTGGAAGTTTGGTTTGGGTTCTTAAACTCTGGAGAATATTTCCTAGTAGTATCTATTTCAGTTCATTCTTCTATTAATTATTCTGATGGGGCTGAGAATAAAACAATTCAGCCACTTGTTTGAAACTTTTATTGTATCCATTCCAAAACATAAATCTCATACTAAGAAATATTTCCAGCGCTACAATCTCATATTTATATTACAATGGTTATCCAGAAGATGGCACCAGAGATTGCTATTTCACATAGCCAGCCATTGCTTGTTCAGTTTTAAGAACCACTTTTTAGAGGTAGACACTAGGCCTGGTTGATCAAGAAAAAATTTGGTTCTAAAATCGATTTGTAATTGGGGTGTTTTTTTGTTTCGATATTTAAAATAATTACAAAATTTTCCCCCAAAAAAAGTTCGGTATTTACGAAATTTCGTAAATATTAACGAATTGATTCGTTAAGATGGCGGACCCCCCGCGCATGCGCAAAATCACTTCCGAAGCTTCGTTATTGGCGCGGGGTCGATTCGTTAAGGTTATAACGAATCGATTCGTTAAAACGGCAGACGCGATTGCGCATGCGCAAAAGCGACTTCCGAAACTTCGTTATTAAATACGAATCGATTCGCTATTAAAATAATAACGAATCGATTCGTTAAAACGGCGGACGCGATTGCGCAATGCTAAATGCTCTATAAACAAAATCATTTTATAAAATAAATCAAATAAAATAATCAAATAGAACAAGATATTAAGATATTAAATAAAAAAGTAATAAGATAAAGTATCCAAAACTGAGTCAATTTAATAATATAATGAAATAAACAATAATATAATAATAAAATTTAAATAAATAAAATATAAATAAATAATAATAATAATAAATAATAACAATAAATAATATAAAATTAAATTATATAATATATTCAATATAAAATAATATAATATAATAATATATTATTATATATATTATATAAATGAAATAAATAATAATATAAATATTTAAATAAAATATAATTAAATTTATAAAATATTTATAAAATATAATTATAAATAATAATAAAAATAATATATAAAATTAAATTATAAATTATTAATATATAAAAAATAATGTTATTATAAAAACTTAGAAAGTAAATATAAGAAATAAATAAAGAAAAAGTAACAAAAAGTAACAGAAATTGCACTTTGAAAAAACTCTGAAAATTATCTGGGAAGTATTGCATAGCATTGCATTTCTGTAGCAGTATTGCAAGTTAAGTAAGAAGGACCAACTTCACATTTGGGGGTGGTGTATCTTAATGTGCATCCTTAGCCCTGTTGTGGCAAGATGCCTCATATCTTTTCCTCTGCTGACGCTCACACCGCAATGCCTGCAAACTGCCAAAGTGGCCCTCTCATTATGGACGTCGTAATGATCCCATAGGAGCGATCTCGGCCTACCTCTACTAGGCACTTCAGATGTACTCATGCTCGTGTTTGGACTGTCGGTGTTTGTGGAAGGGAGTATAATCGTTGGTTGTTTCTGTAGCTCGCCCTCCATCAGCATGCAGTCCTCTTGATCACTAATTCCTGTGGTGGAAGCACATTCCATCTTGTCTTCCTCCCATTCGTCTGACACGTCCGCCTCCTCGCCCTCCTCTTCATAACAAGTAATATCAGAGGTACTTGGAACGACATCAGGATCTGAACGTAGAGTCTTTCGAACTGATGAAGAAGAAGGTTCTGCCATCTCACAGCTGGTTGAAGCATCTGTGGGTGTTTCAATAACCATCTCGTTGGATGAATGTTCCCTTCTTGTCAATGTGTTCATCTTCAGTCCCCTGCCTTTCTTCGGTATTCGCGATAGCACTTGGCCCTTGCGACTAGAAAAGCCGGGAAGGAAGCGTTTCATCACACTGGTTGGAACTACACAAATAATGAGCAAAAGGAGCGCACTGGTTGGAACTACACAAATAATGAGCGAGCACTGTATTATAGCACTTTGTGTTGGCAAAAGGAGCGCACTGGTTGGAACTACACAAATGAGCGAGCACTGTATTATAGCACTTTCTGTTGGCAAAAGGAGCGCACTGGTTGGAACTACACAAATAATGAGCAAAAGGAGCGCACTGGTTGGAACTACACAAATGAGCGAGCAGTGTATGTAGCACTTTGTGTTGGCAAAAGGAGCGCACTGGTTGGAACTACACAAATGAGCGAGCACTGTATTATAGCACTTTCTGTTGGCAAAAGGAGCACACTGGTTGGAACTACACAAATGATGAGCGAGCAGTGTATGTAGCACTTTGTGTTGGCAAAAGGAGCGCACTGGTTGGAACTACACAAATGAGCGAGCACTGTATTATAGCACTTTGTGTTGGCAAAAGGAGCGCACTGGTTGGAACTACACAAATGAGCGAGCACTGTATTATAGCACTTTCTGTTGGCAAAAGGAGCGCACTGGTTGGAACTACACAAATGATGAGCGAGCAGTGTATGTAGCACTTTGTGTTGGCAAAAGGAACGCACTGGTTGGAACTACACAAATGAGCAAGCACTGTATTATAGCACTTTGTGTTGGCAAAAGGAGCGCACTGGTTGGAACTACACAAATGATGAGCAAGCACTGTATTATAGCACTTTCTGTTGGCAAAAGGAGCGCACTGGTTGGAACTACACAAATGACAAACGCACACACAGCCACCGAAGACTCTTTTATTTTTTTAGAATATTTTTTTAGAATATTAGCCACGAGACAGGGCAAACGAGAGCACGCACCAACAGAAGAGTCTTTTCTTTTTTAGAATATTTTTTGTATTTTTTTAAGAATAAAAGACAGGTATTTTTAAAAAATATTCAAAAATGGAAAATTAACCAAAAACTGGCCC